AGGGCCATCATCCCTGTCAAATAATACCATGCGGGACACATTCGTTTTTTCTTCGCGCGCGCACGCCGTCGTCGTCGGCCGCGGGGCCCTGAATAGTAGCCACGGTCGTCCGCATGCCACGAAGTGAAGTGTCCGAACGTCATAGGGCGGGAAGCTGGGTGTGGGTGGTGGCGAAGAGTCGTTTGGAAATTTGGTAGAGCTTGAACCGGCCCCCCCACAAAGTGGGGGTATTGCCCGCCTCCTATGAAAACCCTGGCACTGGTGAGAACGGAGTGTCCCCACGTGCTAGTAATTGTTGTTGTTGTTGAACATTATTAATTCTAAAGAATAATTATTGTTGGGCCCCCTGGTGCGCGCCCCCCCGCCGCGCCTAGGCCGCAGCCACATTTTCATCATTTTCGTGAGGAAGCCTCAGGTAATTCGATGTGATCAAGATCCGGTTGTTTTGTTGTAATCCGCTTTCCCTTGCAAAAAACACTATAAAATGACATTTCTTGTTCAAATATAATCAAATTTCAAGAATCCCTTGCAAAAAATAAGGTAAAGTGGACATTCGCGCGCGCAAGACGAAATCCTTCCAAAACCTTAGTGTTCGAGCGATTTTAACATAAAAACATCAAAAAACCAATGGTTTTTCAACAAAAAAATGTCAAAATCTCATCCCGCGCGCTCTTGCGGATTCGTAGGAAACCCAACACTTTTTAAACATTTCTGTCAAACGGGCTTTTGCGAGCAACTTTTTCGAACTTCTGCGACAACGGTTGCGCACCTGCCAGGGCCATCATCCCTGTCAAATAATACCATGCGGGACACATTCGTTTTTTCTTCGCGCGCGCACGCCGAAATCTCCAAAAACCATTGGGTTCTGTGGGTGTGTACCCCACGCCAGTGTAGTAGCCACGGTCGTCCGCACGCCACGAAGTGAAGTGTCCCAACGTCATAGGGCGGGAAGCTGGGTTTGGGTGGTCGCGAAGAGTCGTTTGGATATTTGGTAGAGCTTGAATGCCCCCCCACGAAGTGGGGGTATTGCCTGGTGTCGTATGAAAACCCTGGCACTGGGGAGAACACCACGCGGGTTGTTGTTGTTGTTGAACATTATTAATTCTAAAGAATAATTATTGTTGGGCCCCCTGGTGCGCGCCCCCCCCGCCGCGCCTAGGCCGCAGCCACGTTTTCATCATTTTCGTGAGGAAGCCTCAGGTAATTCGAGTTGATCAAGATCCGGTTGTTTTGTTGTAATCCGTTTTCCCTTGCAAAAAACACTATAAAATGACATTTCTTGTTCTAATATAATCAAATTTCAAGAATCCCTTGCAAAAAATAAGGTAAAGTGGACATTCGCGCGCGCAAGACGAAATCCTTCCAAAAGCTTAGTGTTCGGAGCGATTTTAACATAAAAACATCAAAAAACCAATGGTTTTTCAACAAAAAAATGTCAAAATCTCATCCCGCGCGCTCTTGCGGATTCGTAGGAAACCCAACACTTTTTAAACATTTCTGTCAAACGGGCTTTTGCGAGCAACTTTTTCGAACTTCTGCGACAACGGTTGCGCACCTGCCAGGGCCATCATCCCTGTCAAATAATACCATGCGGGACAGATTCGTTTTTTTGCGGGACATACACCGCCCCGAATAAGTGACCAAGTTCTGTGGGTGTGTACCCCACGCCAGTGTAGTAGCCACGGTCGTCCGCACGCCACGAAGTGAAGTGTCCCAACGTCATAGGGCGGGAAGCTGGGTTTGGGTGGTCGCGAAGAGTCGTTTGGATATTTGGTAGAGCTTGTAATGCCCCCCCACGAAGTGGGGGTATTGCCTGGTGTCGTATGAAAACCCTGGCACTGGGGAGAACACCGCGCGTTCGGGTAAAATGATTGTTGTTGTTGTTGTTGTTGTTGTTTGGGGTGGGGGGGTGGGGACCCCGGGGCCGGGGGACGATTCCTGCCCCCCCTGGAGGAGAGCGCTGGAGGAACCCGAGCGCCAGGGCCCAGGGAAGGTCCCTGTCCTTGTTGTTGTTGAACATTATTAATTCTAAAGAATAATTATTGTTGGGCCCCCTGGTGCGCGCCCCCCCCGCCGCGCCTAGGCCGCAGCCACGTTTTCATCATTTTCGTGAGGAAGCCTCAGGTAATTCGATGTGATCAAGATCCGGTTGTTTTGTTCCCCCCCGCTTTCCCTTGCAAAAAACACTATAAAATGACATTTCTTGTTCTAATATAATCAAATTTCAAGAATCCCTTGCAAAAAATAAGGTAAAGTGGACATTCGCGCGCGCAAGACGAAATCCTTCCAAAAGCTTAGTGTTCGGAGCGATTTTAACATAAAAACATCAAAAAACCAATGGTTTTTCAACAAAAAAATGTCAAAATCTCATCCCGCGCGCTCTTGCGGATTCGTAGGAAAACCAACACTTTTTAAACATTTCTGTCAAACGGGCTTTTGCGAGCAACTTTTCGAACTTCTGCGACAACGGTTGCGCACCTGCCAGGGCCATCATCCCTGTCAAATAATACCATGCGGGACACATTCGTTTTTTCTTCGCGCGCGCACGCCGAAATCTCCAAAAACCATTGGGTTCTGTGGGTGTGTACCCCACGCCAGTGTAGTAGCCACGGTCGTCCGCACGCCACGAAGTGAAGTGTCCCAACGTCATAGGGCGGGAAGCTGGGTTTGGGTGGTCGCGAAGAGTCGTTTGGATATTTGGTAGAGCTTGTAATGCCCCCCCACGAAGTGGGGGTATTGCCTGGTGTCGTATGAAAACCCTGGCACTGGGGAGAACACCACGCGTTCGGGTAAAATGATTGTTGTTGTTGTTGTTGTTGTTGTTGTTGTTGTTGTTGTTATTTGTTGTTGTTTATTGTTATCGTCGTCCCACCCGCGACCCGCCCCGCGACCCAGCCGCGACCCAGCCGCGACCCACCCGCGACCCACCCCGCGATCCACCCCGCGACCCACCCGCGACCCACCCCGCGACCCACCCGCGACCCGCCCGCGACCCACCCGCGACCCACCCGCGACCCACCGGCGACCCACCCCGAGACCCCCCCTGCGACCCACCCGCGACCCACCGGCGACCCACCCGCGACCCACCCGCGACCCACCCCGCGACCCACCCGCGACCCACCCGCGACCCACCCGCGACCCACCCGCGACCCACCCGCGACCCACCCGCGACCCACCCGCGACCCACGCCGCGACCCACCCGAAATTTTCGGCGCCTGCCGCGGGCTTCTTTTGCATTCGTTCCAGGTCGTTCCAGATGGAGAACCTGCGACCCACCCGCGACCCAAACCGCGTTCAGTGTACAGATCAAAAGTTTCGGCGCCTGCGGCGAGCTGTTTTTGAATTCTTTTCTAGGTGGAGGTGGGGAGCCCGCGACCCACCCGCGACCCAAACTACGTTCACTGAACAAGCCAAAACTTCGGCGCCTGCGGCGGATTTCTTTTGCATCGGCGACCAACGCACGACCCACCCGCGACCCACCCCGAGACCCACCCGCGACCCACCCCGCGCCCCACCCGCGACCAACCCGCGACCCACCCGCGACCCACCGCGACCCACCCGCGACCCACCCGCGACCCACCCCGCGACCCACCCAAAATTTTCGGCGCCTGCGGCGGGCTTCTTTTGCATTCGTTCCAGGCTCCTTTTGCACTCGTGAGGGCCACGAGACGAGGTCCGCCGGCTCGACGCCTGCGTCGCCCGCGCCCGCCCCTCACTCTCATCCGCAATTGCGGGGTGCTACCTATTATTTGGCACGGGTCGTGCCCCCCCCGGCACGCGCGCAAGGGCGTTGGAATGCTGTCGGCGCGCGGCGCGAAGGGCCCGTTTGACAGAAGTTATTGAACATGTTGACGAACCGATGGTTTTTTTGAAGGATTCTCAGGAACGCGAACGCAGGCATGGTTGAACATTGATGTTGCAGAACCATGTTTTTATTATGTTATCGGGGCACTCGATTCTGAATTCCCTACGCAATTTTTTCATATATCTATATATAATAATAATGATTTCAGCATGCGCCGCGCGCGACGACGCGCGCGTGTGCACTACGTTCCAATTTTTGCAAGGAGTTCTTGCGACAACACGTGCGCAAGGGCGTTCGAGCGATTCCGGCAAGCGCGCGCGAGGGGCCCGTGTGATAGCATGCTATGGAAGTAGCGTGACGCATTTTTGTACATCAAGGCGTTTTTCTGTTTGTTTCCTTTTTGTGTAAACCGCAAGAACCTGAGCGCAATTTTTTGTTGAACATCGTTGTTGCGAAACCGTGTGTTTTTACATGTTTTCGGGACACCCGATCTTGAACCCCTTCCGAAACTTGAGGTTTTGACGGATTTCGGCATGCGCGCGCGACGACGCGCGCGTGCGCACTTCGTTTCATTCCTGCAAGCTGTTCTTGGGCATGGATTTTTATCTGCTAAACGAATATACGCGCATAGTTTTTTGTAAAGGATGAGGGGGGTGTCGATACCGGCCTGTTTGGGATTGTTTGGAGTCGCATTTAGGATGGACGATGGGGCACAATCATATGTAATTTGCAATACAAATAGGGAAACCGTTACTTCGGGGGGGTAGATCTTATTATTCTTTTAGAACGGATAATCAAGGTGGTGCAGTGTAATCGAGGCGGCGACGGGGCGGCGACGAGGCGGCGACGGCGAGCACGGAACCGCCAGAGCGACACCCATGCCCAGACAGTGGGCGGCGACGAGGAGGCGACTTGGGCGGCAACGGCGAGCACAGAACCGCCAGACTGTCATCCAGGCCCAGTCCCTTCGAACAGAAGTGGGAACCCACAAATGCAAGTACTGTTCGGCCCGCCCAGTCCGATCCGATCCGATTCCGATATTCTGGCGATCCGATGCGGCCCGATCCAACGCACGGTTCGACCTGGCTCAGCCGATCCGCTTCGACCTCGACTCCGTGCCGATGCAGCCCGGTCCGACGCACGGTTCGAGTCGATCCGGCTTCCCCGATCCGATGCCGCCATCGGCCTCCGCCAGGCCGCGGTCGCCAAGTGGGCGCAGCTGGGGGCCGCGCAGCTGCCCCCGCTGGGGCGGCCGGCGGCAGCAGCGCTGGCCGCCTTCTAGCCCGCGGGGAGGGAGGGAGGAGGGGGAGGAGGTGGGAGGGAGGGGGAGGGAGGAGGGGGACGAGGCGGAGCTGGAGGAGAGGCAGGAGGGCGGAGGAGGAGGAGGAGGAGGGTAGGAACATGAGGAGGAGAGGCAGCAGCAGCAGCAGGAGGAGGAGAAGGAGGATGAGGAGGAGGAGGAGGAGGAAGAGGAAGAGGAGGAGGAGGCGGAGGAGGAAGAGGAAGAGGAGCAGGAGGAGGAGGAGGAGGAGGAGGAGGAGGAGGAGGATGAGGAGAAGGAGGCGGAGGAGGGGCAGGAGGAAGAGGAGGAGGATGAAAGAAAAGTGAGAAACAATAATACATTGCCGTCCCAAATCCCCTCCTCGCTATCGAAGACGCCTACGGCGAATCACCGCCGCCCCCTGCCTTTTTGGAAGCGCCTATGTGGCCGAACGTTGAGGCCAGACTTGCCAAGCTATCGGACCATGTGTTCCCCGAATCGGTTTGGAAAGCCTTCGGGGAACACGTGGGCATCTTGAAGGTCATCTTGGCCGTCTGGAGGCCATTTTGACCCTTTCGGGCCTTCTTGGAGGACGTCTTGGAGGGCTCTTGGGCCGTCTTGGAGGCCATCTTGAGCGTCTTGGAGACCTCTTGGGCCGTCTTGGGGGCCTCTTGGGGCCGTGTCTTGGGCCTCTTGGGCGATCTTTGGGGGCACTTGGGCCGTCTCGGGCCGTCGGAAGGCAGAAAAAAAAACAAATGCCACAATCCTTCAAAAACCCATGGGAAATGAATAATTTTGGCCTTTCCGGGCCTTCTGAGGCCCTCTTGGGGGCCTCTTGGGCCGTCTTGGGCCATCTTAGGGCCATGTTCGGCCGCCTTGGTGGGCTCCTGGTCCGTCTGACGCCGTCGGAAGCCGTTTGGGGGGCCTCTATGGGCCGACTTGGGGCCCTTCTTGGAATGCTCCAGGGCCGTCTTGGAGGCCATCTTGGGCGTCTTAAAGGCCTCCTGTGCCGTCTTGGGGGCCTCTTGGGGCCGTCTTGGGGCCCTCTTGGGCCGTTCTGGGGCCCTCTTGGAGGCCTCTTGGGCGATCTTTCGGTGATCTTTGGGGGCTCTTGTGCCGTCTCGGGCCATTGGAAGGCCGAAAAGAAGCAAATGTCGAAATCCGTCAAAAACCAATGGAAAATCAATGTTTTTGGCCTCTTCTGGCCTTCCTGGAAGCCCTCTTGGGGGCCTCTTGGGCCGTCTTGGGCCAGCTTCGAGCCAACTTCGGCCATGTTGGTGGGTTCCTGGCACGTCTGACGCCGTCGGGAGCCGTTTTGGGGGCCTTTCTGGGCAGACTTGGGGCCCTCTTAGGGCGCTTCGGGGCCGTCTTGGAGGCCATCTTGGCCGTCTTGGAGGCCATCTTGGGCGTGTTGGAGGCCTCTTGGGCCGTCTTGGGGTCCTCTTGGGGCCGTCTTGGAGGCCTCTTGGGCCGTCACTGGGCCCTATCTTGGGGGTCTCTTGGGCCGTCTGGGGCCGTCGGAATGCAGAGAAGAAGCAAATGCCCAAATCCTTCAAAAACCAAAGGAAAATACATGATTTTGGCCTCTTCGGGCCTTCAGGACCTCTTGGAGGCCTCTTGGGCCGTCTTGGAGGCCTCTTGAGGGCCTCTTGGGCAGTCTTGGGCCATCTTGAGGCTATCTTAGGCCGTCTAGGGTGCCTCTTGGACCGTCTTGGAGGCATCTTGGGGCCATCTTAGCCGTCTCGGAGGGCATCTTGGCCGTCTTGGAGGCATCCTGGAGGCCATCTTGGGCCGTCTTGGGGCCGTCAGGGGCAGGAAAACCGTTTGCGGCCACCTCTGGGCAAGCCTCCCGGGACCCCGGCGGGACGCGCCGGAGCCCACTGGGAGACTTCTTTTGGAAAAGAACCAAAACCAAAACCGTAAGAAGTTCAGCACGTCAGGCACCCCTGTGATGAATCAACACGGGGGCGGCGGATCGAAGACGCCTACGGCGAATCACCGCCGCCCCCTGCCTTTGTGGAAGCGCCTACGTGGCCGAACGTTGAGGCCAGACCTGCCAAGCCATCGGACCATGTTTTCCCCGAATCGGTTTGGAAAGCCTTCGGGGAACATGTGGGCATCTTGAAGGTCATCTTGGCCGTCTTGGAGGCCTCTTGGGCGATCTTTCGGCGATCTTTGGGGGCTCTTGGGCCGTCTCGGGCCGTCGGAAAGCCGAAAAAAAGAAAATGTCGAAATCCGTCAAAAACCAATGGAAAATCAATGTTTTTGGCCTCTTCTGGCCTTCCTGGAAGCCCTCTTGGGGGCCTCTTGGGCCCTTTTGGGCCAGCTTCGAGCCAACTTCGGCCATGTTGGTGGGTTCCTGGCACGTCTGACGCCGTCGGGAGCCGTCTCGGGGGCCTTTCTGGGCCAACGGGGGACCCTCTTGGGGCGCTTCGGGGCCGTCTTGGAGGCCATCTTGGGCGTCTTGGAGGCCATCTTGGGCTTGTTGGAGGCCTCTTGGGCCGTCTTGCGGTCCTCTTGGGGCCATCTTGGAGGCCACTTGGGCCATCATGGGGCTCTCTTGGGGGCCTCTTGGGCGATCTTGGGGGCTTCTTGGGCCGTCTTGAGCCGTCGGAGAGCCGAAAAGGCGCAAATGCTAAAATCCTTCAAACACCTTCGGGAAATCAATGATTTTGGCCTCTTCGGGCCCTCCTGGAGGACCTCTTGGAGGCCTCTTGGGCCGTCTGGGAGGCCTCTGGGGGGCCTCTTGGGCCGTCTTGGACTCTCTTGGGCCGTCTTGGAGGCCGCCTTGGACCATCTTGGGCGGACTTGGAGGCCATCTTGGACCATCTTGGAGGCCATTTTGGGCCATCTTGGCCATCTTGGAGGCCATCTTGGAGCCGTCTTGGGTAGAAAAGTGGGGAATTGAGGTCCGTGGAAAAAAATCCCGGGACCCCGGCGGGATGGGCCGAAACCCACTGGGAGAGTTCTTTTGGAAAAAGAGCCAAAAACAAAACCGAGAGGATCCAGCACGCCAGGCACCCCTGCGATGAATCGACAGGGGGCGGCGGATCGAAGACGCCTACGGCGAATCACCGCCGCCCCCTGCCTTTCTGGAAGCGCCTATGTGGCCGAACGTTGAGGCCAGACCTGCCAAGCTATCGGACCACGTGTTCCCCGAATCGGTTTGGAAAGCCTTCGGGGAACACGTGGGCATCTTGAAGGTCATCTTGGCCGCCTGTGGGCCATTTTGGCTCTTTCGGGCCTTCTTGGAGGACGTCTTGGAGGGCTCTTGGGGAGGCCATCTTGAGCGTCTTGGAGGCCTCTGGGGCCGTCTTGGGGGCCTCTTGGGGCCGTCTTGGGCCTTTTGACAATCTTAGGGGGCTCCTGGACCGTCTCGGGCCGTCGGAAGGCAGAAAAAAAACAAATGTCAAGATCCTTCAAAAACCAACGGGAAATCAATGGTTTTGGCCTCTTCTGGCCTTCCTGGAGGCCCTCTTGGAGGCCTCTTGGGCCGTTTTGGGCCAGCTTAGTGCAGTCTTCGGCCGTCTTGGTGGACCCCTGGCCCGTCCGACGCCGTCGGAAGCCGTTTGGGGGGCCTCTCTGAGCCGACTTGGGGCCCTCCTGGAATGCTCCAGGGCCGTGTTGGAGGCCATCTTGGGCGTCTGAAAAGCCTCCTGGGCCGTCTTGAGTGCCTCTTGGGGCCGTCTTGGGGGCCTCTTGAGCCGTTCTGGGGCCATCTTGGAAGCATCTTGGGCGATCTTTGGCCGATCTTTGGGAGCTCTTGGGCCGTCTTGGGCCGTCGGAGAGCTGAAAAGAAGAACATGCCAAAATCCTTGAAACACCTAAGGAAAATCAATGATTTTGGCCTCTTCGGACTCTCCTGGAGGACCTCTTGGAGGCCTCTTGGGCCGTCTGGGAGGCCTCTGGGGGGCCTCTTGGGCCGTCTTGGGCCGTCTTGGACTCTCTTGGGCCGTTTTGGAGGCCGTCTTGGACCATCTCGGGCGGACTTGGAGGCCATCTTGGGCCATCGTCGCGATTTTTTGAGGATGTCCCGAGCGAAACGGCCGTTTTTGGGCATTGAGAGATGGGTTTTCGGCAATTTGCGGGTGGCCGGCGGGACGGGCCGAAGCCCACTGGGGAGTTCTTTTAGAAAAAGAACCAAAACCAAAACCTGAGTCATCCAGCACGCCGTGCACCCCTGCAAGCAGGGGGCGGCGGATCTCATGGCCTTCGGCCCATCCCGCCACCGTCCTTGTCTGTGTGCCACAGGCCTCCAGGACGTTCGTTGGGATGTCGCGGAGGGCCTCTCGGGGGCCTCTCGGGGGCCGCTAGGAGGTCTCCGGGGAGCCGTCTTGGCGGCCTCCTGGGGCGCCTCGAGGGCCTCTTCGGGGGGTCTCCTCGGGCCCCCTGAGGGCCTCTCGGCGCGCCTTGTGCCCCCGCAGGCAACGGCGCTCCTGTTCGATACTTCCTCTCCGCGTTGCTTCAAGACTCCCAGGGGGCTTAACTCCATGTTGAACTTTAACTATCCTCCTCCTCCTCCTCCTCCTCCCGCTTCCTCCTCCTCCTCCTCCTCCTCCTCCTCCTCCGCGTTACTTCAAGACTCCATGTTGAACTTTAACTATCCTTATTATTGTTCGGGCGAGGAGAACTATGCACATGCACCGATCTTGGCCTGGCCCATCCTGGGCCCCAGGATCGGTGCATATACCTTCCTGGCCAAGGTAGCGGGCGTATAACACGGGCACCACCACAACAACAACAGCAGCAACAACATCAACAACATCAGCAACACCACCACCACCAACAACACAGCCACCACCACCAACAACAACAGCAACAGCAACAGCAACAGCAACAACAACAACAACAACAACACCAACAACAACAACAACAACAACAACAACAACACAACAACAGCAACAACAACAACAACAACATCAGCAACAACAACAACCTCAACAACAGCGTTCCTGCTCGATACTTCCTCCCTTTCTGCTCGGGACCAGGGCTCTTGCTCGCCGCCGAAAGCCGGCTTTCCA